TCAAACCTAAAATGAAATAGACTGGACTTGTTTATGCTTGAAAACAAAATGGTAGTGCTTGACGATAAATTATTATGTATTGTCTACAGGTAAATAGTGAAGCAGAAGATAAAATATTAGTTATGGGAGCAACAAATAGACCTCAGGAATTAGATGATGCTGTCTTGAGGTGAGAGGACATTTTGATTTTTACCCTTTCTTATTCTTATATACTCAGATAAAATGTGGCCAAAAAGCTCAGTTAGGCCCACTAGCAATTTTGTTGATTTATGGTAAAGAAAATGGCAGGTCTTGGTAGGTGCCAAGGAAATTTGGTTGAGAAAAAAGCAAAAAATTGGTAGAATTGGGCACTCCATCGGTAGAGCAGTGGACAACATTCAAAAGCGGTAGAAACGCGACAACATCGGTAGATTACACCTGTATGCTTGCCAATGTTTAAAGATTTAAGTCATTGAAATTGGTATTGGCGCTCTTCTTTAGGTGGAAAAATCATCTAGCCCTTGGGACATTAAAGTAAGGCCTCTTGTGCTATAGACTATGATAGTTAAAGATCCTTCGACAGTTGGAAATAAAAAAAAGTAGGCTGATGTGGCTGTCCTGGAAAAATTACCCTCATTGCACACTGAATGGGGTTGCCTATCTTTATAAGCCCATTAGGTGCAGAAAAGTAGGAGATAAAACTCCATTCAATTCATTTAAGTTTTTTCTTCTTTGCATTTGGTTATTGATTTTAATTATTATGAACAGTTAAGAATATTGCTTTGGTTTTATTATCTATTGCTAATAAAAAATGTTGTATATTTTAGACGATTTGCAAAAAGAGTATATGTAGCTATGCCTAATGTTGATACTAGACGTAAGATGTTAGCTAATCTATTAGTTAAACATGATAATCCTTTAACATCTAGAGAACTAGATAAACTTTCTAGGTAAGTATATTATTAAATAAATAAGAAGACTATTATAGATATACTACTCCTTTCATTAATTTAGCACTAGTGGATGAATAAGCACTACACAATAATTCCAAAGTATATTGTTGGAATTTTATAAGGCATGCAGCCAATCAGATGTCATATTTTTCACTTTACGAGTTAATGGATTTTTTATTATCTGTTATATCGGCAAAAAAGCTCCATTTTAGATATCCATAGCACTTAGCAAGATTAATGTCTGATGTGTGGTTCCCCTACAATTAAATCAAGGAAGCTGGGTTTAGAAATTTGAGTAAAGAGTCTTGAGCTATTCCTATGTGGCATAGGCTATGCCCAGAACAATATGAAATAAAGGGATGAATTAATGTATAAGTGAAGTGGAAGATTTAGTATATCGTGGGTGACCGCTTGAAACCTAGTATGTGCCTTATTTGGTCATTTTTTGGTACATTTAGAAAGCTTGTAAAAGCGCGGATCTTGTGATTGTGTTTTTTTTTGCATTTTTATCGAAAAGTAATTTAGCATCATATATCGTTATACAAGGTTTCAAGCGGTCACCCACGATATTTTGATGTATATCTAAGGATTGAGGATAATTTTTATTAATTAATTATAGAGAAGCTGCAGGCTATTCTGGGAGTGATTTAACTGCTTTAGCTAAAGATGCTGCTCTAGGTCCAATAAGAGGTAAGATTATCTGTCCTAAAGAATATTCTTATTAGTGGATTTGTGGTCCTGTTCAGTGAGTTTGCTCATATGCTTATCTTTGGAAATGTCTAGGGATTTTATATCCATGCATGAGTCAAGAGCATGAGATGAGCTTTTATGAAATGACAAGGTGACATAACTAACTGTTTGATGATGTCACTAATCGCACTAAGAGCCTTATGTGATAAAGAATATTTTGTGGTTAGTGGAATGCCAGGAACCACAGACATCTGATTAAAAATTGGAATGGTGTAAACTGATGCTATCAGTGTCCCCAATACGCATAAAAAATGTAGAAACTTCTTTACAATCCCTTAAGCGGATCTATCATCATGGGATCC